CTTTAGCTGAGGAAAACTGGCATCCGCTTGTCCAGTTCCACAAGTAGGAGAAAGTATAAATAAAGCATAAATGATTAATTTAACTTTCCCTCCCTGCCTCCCATTAACAGCTCAAGGACCCACAGCACACTGTGCTCCTGTGATGTACCAGTGCGGTAGAGCCTTCAAGACTGTGGCTAACCCCTTTCCAAGTACAAACACCTGTAAAAACAAAATTAGGCCTGCCAATATGTCTAAGAAGAAATGCTTTCCAGTAGGTTATAGATATAATATTCACCCCATTCAGGGGAATCCAAACAAAACACAAATGTCTTATTGGGGCAAGAGGATATTAAGAATAATAGACAGATTATATGATAGTTTATTGAAGGCAAAGGAAGAGACATTAGTCATAGTTTTGTTATAAAATGAGACTTAATCAAAGAGGAAAGGGTTAGAGGTCATGTGTTCTATTTGTGCTATTATTATTTTTAAATCATTGAGACTTCCATGAGTGGCAAAAGAAATGATCCTGAACAGTGCAAAACAAGCCAGACCTCACTGGAGCACTTCAAGATGAGCCAAGAGAATCCACTGTACGAGCCCTGCTGGGTGTATGCTAATCTCTTTTTATGCCTTTTTAACAAGAGATGGTTGGGATCTGGGATCACCTGTGTCAGAGGAGTTTGTCTCAACAAATCACTAAGCTGGCTGGAAATCATAAAAGAATACCACTTACCACGGAAGCAACATTGTTTTTACACACTGCTTCTTTTCTTTCTATTATCCATTTTTCAATCAAATACAAGAACTCTGGTACATTTGTACAATTTTGCTTCTAAGTTCTTTTGCAAGATAACTTTCAAGTATCTACTTTGGTAGTTACTGCCGAGAAACCAGGCAGAGAAGCTCAAGCCATTCTGTAACACTGAACGTATGTTATTTACTGTAATAAAATATGGACAATAATGTTTTTTAAAAAGAGCAGCCTTAAATTGCATGTTAAGTATTTTGCCTGCAAAACTATTGGATTGCGCACTTAGAGGTGCAGTTCAAGATAAAATTTCTAATGCTTGAAATGTTGCAACAAGTTTTTTCCACGGGTGAAAAGTTTCTTCCCACAATTCAACTATTAGAATTACAATTTAACTATGAACCAATAGATGAACTTATACAAGAAAAATCAACATTTTGGAGCACTCATATGAATTTATATATACTACTATTGAAAACTGACTACATTTGTAGTCAACTCAACCTAACTCTTAGGTCAGAGGGGAAGAAAAAGTAAAGGAAAAAGAACAACATTTGTTTCTTTTGGCACTATTGGTGGAAGTTCAATGATTTAAAAATAGGAGTGGCACAAAGATCTAAAAATATTTGGTGAACATAATCTTTCACATTAAAACTAATTTTAATAGGAAATAACTCTATGTATTTCTAAGAAAAAATACACATTGAAAAAAAAAAATCTTCAAATGAATTTACCTTCAGTCCTTGTTGATGTACCTTTTTAAAAAACAACTGTAGAACTGCAATTTTATGTCATATTTTGGTTCCACAATTTCCACAACTACATACACCTTGAAACAAGAATGCCTCTTCCCTTATGCAGTCTATTGTTTTTCCCTTTTTATTTGTATAACAAATAGACAACAATATAGTAACTTTAAACTGCTTCCCAATGTATATACTTTGGTTATCAGTCTTTTTCATCTATCCAGACTCTCTCTGCTTCATCTGCTTTATTTATTGGTTGATTATTTCACTACGAAAAATAAGGATATCGAGTTTACCAGCATTAGTGCATTCATTTAGAATTAGTTGTCTTTGTTCCTTTGCTTTTCTTTATATTCTAGATCAAGGGTGTTGAAGCTTCCTGATCATATGTATCACAGACTAAAATAATCATATGCTCAGTTCACACAATGCAAATTGCCTATCCTTTGCTTCTGGACTACTTCACAGGAAGGAGACTGGCTCCTCCAGACATTGGGTTCCTCTAATCCCTCCCATATGATCTGGAAGTAAACCTCTAGTTGGGGTATAGGTTAGCATTGCAGAACTCCATTTCTTTGCTTTGCACTATCCAGATTAAGGTTCTGTGCAAGCCATGAAGACAGTTGGTTGGATGCCTACAAAAATGTAAAGCCAGTATGCTAAGTCAGTAGCTTAATCTGTAAATTGTAGAATCTGTGGTGTGCTTTGCCTTTGACGTCTCTCTAGAGCGCTGATGCTTTATTTAACTTCTGAGATACATGTTGATTCAAGAGCCTACATGAAACCTTCATTGACAAACTCATCTCATAAGACTCAGTAGAAGACCAAGTATTACTGTGGATTTCCTCTCTGGTCTCATATTGTAGCAGATCTAAGGAGATTTTTAAAAGTTCAAAGTCCTGTCATGTTTGAGAGGATTTGAGTTTCATTTGTCCCTGCTCTAAAGGTTTTCCAAAATAGTCATGCTTTAAATGATAAGAATTACACATCTAAAATACCTTCTTCTTTGAGAATTCTCTGAGAACTTGCCATTAAAAGCAATATCATAAAGTAATTTTTTTTTTTCTATTAGGAAGTAAAGATCTTTAAAATACTCGTGCAGCTCTGTTAAGTGCAAGCAAAAGTACCAATGGCCCATGTCAAGTGTGAGGTTTGTATCTTCATGGCTGCACTTCCCCTTCCATCTCTCTTTCCTCCAGTCAGATTGTCCTCGCACTGCTCACATTTTACACGCTTTACCATGACTTCAACATTTTTAATAAATTATTCCCCCATGTGGTACTTTAACTTGCCTTTTCCACCAACAGGGATGCTGGTGAGGCAAGAAGAAAGCCTCTGAAAGGTACTTATTTCCACAAACCACGTATTATCAGAAAGAACTAGGAATCATTCAGCATAGTAAGCAGGAGAAGAGCATTTGAAAGCGTCCAGAAGTTTCCTCTGGTTTGTCACCATGTCCGGCATTTGAAGATGTAACGCACCTCTGAGTGCAGTTGTCTCTATACTGTGGGGACCAGATAAAGTGCTTCCTGTCAGAGTCCAGTATCAATAGCACTCCGAGGGGTCTCAGTGACCCTTATAGCCTGTGCTCAAGTGGACAAGCAGCCAGATGGTCACACATTTCTACATTCTTTCACTTTGTTTTTCCAGCACTAGATATACATGGTATCATCTTTTGTCTTGGAGATCTAAAAGGGAACAGAGCCCTTGAAGAACTTATAAGAGAACTTACAGTCTGTAGCAGAAATCAACATGGAAAATATGTTTAAAAAAAAAAAATAGTATATCAGCTATCAAAGCGGAGAGAAATCCATGAAGGGTTCATTAGTATCTGGATTTTTGATCACTGCAAACAATGAACAAACATAAGTTCAAAGGCACTACCCTTACAGGGGTAGCAACGATTCTCATTTCTGAGATAAGCAAACCTGATAGTCATCTTGAAGTGGGCAATTATGAATATACTTCCAACAATTTGAAAAATTGGTACTATATTCTTGAGATGTTTCGGTATGTTCAGTCTTTCCCAAGCAGGTTTCAACTGAAGACACATTGTGAACACTTTTAATGACTCCAGGGTTACAGATTCAAATCCCGAAAGGAAAGGAAAAAAAGAGGAGAGGGGGGAAAATAAATAAATAAATGTGAGAAAGAATAAGAAAAGCAAACAAACAAAAAGGATTCCCAGTACATCCAGCATAGGCTGGCAACAAATAGAATCAGTACCACTGCCTAAGAGCCAAATATTTGCTTCAATGATTGCAGGATACTATGATAAGTCCCTCAAACAATATAGATTTTCCAGTGCTAACGGGGAGCAGGCCAAGCCTGCGTCAGTGCTTGTCAAAATGACGAGCAGTTAATCTCATAACGCCAGCCACATCGTAGTGCTGTTCAGAAATATGGAAAAGTGCACACAGCTCTAAGCACAAGTTCTAGCTACATTAAAGAAGACAGATTTATAGGGTCTTATATTTGAGTATGAGGAATAGACAAAAATAACAGTCTTGGAGCCTGAGATCAGTCAATGGTCTACAAAACAAGTGTATAGCAGCATTTAACAGAAGGTAGCTTTTAATTACAGTGGCTAAGAGAAAGTATATAAAAGTGTCAGCACACATCACTAAGTCACAAAATCATATGGACATCTGCTCTCTCACATGACAGACTGCAAATATATTCTATGTTTATGTCCTGACTTAAGACTTTGGATCAAAATCCGCTGAAACTCCAGTAAAGCGTGGATCCACTGGATAACTTTGCAGAGGCCTCACCTGGCTTAGCTCTGAAATTTGGCTAAACCAACTCCCGACAGGATCTGGAACTGGCTTTTGAGGCTTGGACCTGTCTCAGTGAGAACTGTGGATATTTAAGAAGTAATTCATCATGGTTAATTTTCAGTTTTTAAAGCAATGCAACTTACATACCTTCCCAGAGAGGATTCAATTTAATAAGATATTGTCTCTTGAGCAGACATATTCCAGTGCCAGAGTCCACAATGAAGAGGTGGAGTAGTCTAACTTGCTAATTCTCATCTAACTCTTACTTCATAATGAGACAAAAGCCTGAAAAATATTTTCCAAACTATGCTTGATAAAATTTGATATTTCTCCTTTCATCACATCATGTTGCACATGCTCAGCCTTCACTCAATTCGGCTGAATTTTTTTTATTAGCTGGAGGTATGCCTGCATATCAGTTATGAAGATACTAAAACACCCTCTTTACTAAAATTCTGTCATAGTGCATGTCCAAATACTGTAGATTCATCATAAAGTTGAACATGTCCAAGCTTGATAAGCTTGAGACATTTTGCTCCTTTTTTCATCATCATCATCTACCAATTCCTTTCATCTCACTCTTCCTCCTCTGTTCTCCTTTAATCTGTTCCCTGCTCTTGCCCTCCCCATCAAAATAGGCATGTTACAAACATTTATCAGTGTGTTTGCTAACAGGTACATTCTTCTACTCTCTCCAACTATTTCTTACCTCCTCTGGAATAAAAAGTCTCAGAAATGATCACCTCTCTTCATAACATCCTGAAGAGAAACATGAATAAAATGGATAAAACTCACCATTCTGAATACTATAGAGGACTTATGATATCAGAGTTGTTTAAATGAAATGGAGGGCTGGAGAGAAGTATGAAGTGCATAAGGAACCTTCCTACTTCAGCACAGCCCCTCCTTGACCTGGCTGTCTGGTATTTGTAAATGTTTTCAATCAACTCTCTATGCCCGTATTAACTCCATTAACTCCCTTCATTTTTTTTTTTCCAAGCAGCTGTACATCTGTGCACCACAGCATGCTGAAGGCTGAATATCTCTAATTAGGAACTTAACACTTCTAATATGTTCCACATGGCATCATCACAAATAGAGTTTACTGCCACCACAGCTCCATCAGGCTTAAATGGCTTCACTGCCTGACCTGTGCTTTCACAATGTCTGTCTTGCTTTTCATCTTCCTCTGTCTCATCTGTGCTATCATATAGGTATTATGCTTCCTACCAGATAGATATTGCAGTTTATAAATGTTCCAAAATGGTGTAGTTTATCTTCCATTGCCTGGGCAGAATTATAAATAAATAAATAAATGCCTTGAATTAAAACTAGAAACTGGATTCATGATGCATCAGCTGCTCCTTGCTGGCATTCCAATGTTCCCCAGAAGGTCTGCAGAGGGGCCCTCAAGGCCTCTTCCCCGCCGTGGGTGTTAGAAAGCAAGAAATCAGGAGAGCAAGACTAGCTGCATGCCTGTGTGAAGAGCTGACTGCATGCCTTACTGAAACAGTGTGACCCTAGCTCTTCTTGTGGGCACCGTTAGGCACCGGGAACGTTTTAGCTATTGCCCTCGAATGGCCACTAGAGGGAAATATTGCTCTGCTAACAGCGTCGTTCTGGCGTGACCATGGCATTTCAATCAATATTTTCATTTTACTGAAGAGGAAAAAAAAAAAAAATCTTCAGTTACTTGGTTTGTGCTGTGTATCAGATAAAAATTCAGAATTAAAAGTAAATTATTGTTTTCATAAAACAGGTGTATAGAGAATAGAACTAGGTTTACTTTCTGTAGCCTGTGAAAGTCTCTTTTTCCTCTAGATAATGACTAAAATCCATTTGCAATCCAATTTGTAAACCTTCCCCAAATAAACAAGAGGAATACAGGTTCACATATCATTCTCATCTGACTACAAGTTCTAGAACCAGTGAAATACTTCTCTTTCTTGAGTTCCCAGGTAAAAATGCTACAGTTCAACACTGAGCAAGACTTCCATTAATTAAATTACAGGTTTTTTGATTAAGTGCTGCATCCACTGTCTCTAAGTCATTAAGTAACTCACTGAATCATACCACAACAATAAATCATATCGTGATGTTCCTGTGTATACAGTCATTAAGCACTTTGGAGTGCGTGACTTCCTGATATGATGTGTCTACATTTTAAAATAAACACATGCCTATATTCTTTTGCTTGTGTACTGCAAGCACCTCCTGCCTGAGTGCCCAAAGTAGAGAGATGAATTGGCTAAACTCTAACAAAAAGTACAGTCAGCATTAACGCGTCCAGAGAACAGCAATAACATCAGGCATCCCAGAAACAAGATGAAGACATTAACTAAAGAATTTTCATAAAGCAAATGCAATAAGGATATTGTTTTGCAGTGCCTGTATAAATATTTTTTATACTAAAAGCTAAGACTAAAGAAAGCTAGGTACTAGTATTTAGGATAAAAAAAAAAAAAAAAAACCAAACAAAAAAACCAACCACAAGACCTGAAAATTATTCAAGTTGTTTTGAAGAGAAGTTTTTAAGAATTATATTAAAAAAAATACTTTCATATGCAGTATTAAAAAAAAAATCACTGTAGTCATGACATAAATAATCCAAAAGTGGGTAGCTTACAAGTGCTTAAATTGTTGTTTTTAATATGTTAAAGATGTTGTGCTTTTCTATTTTTACCTTAAAGTAAGATCTGTGCCCTTATTATTTTCTGCTCTGCCCACCCCTGTGAAGTATCCATTCATTTTCTGATTGCACCCAGACAACGGGGCCCAAGCCATCCTGCCACAAACTATTTCAGAGCTTGCCTAATGCTACAATAAAGCCTTCCTACATTATGTTATGCCAAGTTTCTGCCAGGTATAATGAGAAGTTTGGATGCAACAGCCATAGCTTATGAAAGCCCAGTTTTTGTTTGTAGCAGTATTTTGTGCCAGATTCCTCCAAGACGAAACTGAATAAAATTTATAAAATGTAATGTTTACCAACACTGAGTAAATATCATCATAACAGACAGTGAGCGTTGATCACTCGGTAGCAACTAATGTTAGATGATGGAAGTTAATCACTGGGAGTACTGAAAGAAGGTGGAGGAGCTTTCTTAAATTTGTTTTACATTGTAAATAGCTCTTATTTACTATTAGTTGAATATGTGCATAAAATAAGACAAAGTTTCCATGGCTTCTTAGCTCAAAAATATTACTTCTGTTCCCTATGAGAAAAACTTCAGGTTTAAGAATATACAGGATTAGCCAATCTTCTGGGTGAGATGGAGTGAAAAGTGTAAATGTTAGGCCTGGAATTCACCCCATCGATCAACACTGCCTTCAGGATGGTGCCTTTCACCCTGTGCAAGCCCTCTGCATCAGACTGCCGGGGCCAGGGGACACTCAGACCACTCTTTACCAGCCCTGGTAAAGAGGCAAAATAAATCTCTTCTGCAGCATATTTGAGAAGTGTCAATACCTTGATTTCCATAGGCTTATTATTCACGTTGCAGGTAGTTTCTGGAGAAAATCATACTGAAATAAGTGGCTCCGTCACAGTAGGGGGGGTTGGTCTTTCATTTCCTGAGTTTGGATCTTAAATGCTTTTAGGCACTTACATACCCTGGAGACGCTTTTTACACTGTTCTGATGGGCACAGTACAAACACTAAAGTCTACAAACAGATTAAAAAGCAGCACTCCCAATGTGTGTTATTTAAACAGCTCTACCGATAACGACTTCAATTTGTCCCACAATGAAACTGTATTGTTCCCGATTTTTTCTTATCGGTGCCATTAGTATTTGTATGGATCTGATGTGTTAACATCTGTTAAGAAAAAGGTACCATTTTAAATTCAATTTTCAGTGAAGACTGCTTCTGATCTAAAGCTTAGCTATAAAGAGTGTAATCTTTGAAGAAAGACATCTAATCACGATTATTACTTCACATGATTAAAATCATCTTTGCAGAGCTCGGAACTCTGGACTGCATGATTTATTTATTTTGGAGAGAGAAAGAATCCAAAGTAAATGCAGTGGATAAGTATAACTTAATAGATGACAACACATACAACAGTAGTATTGTTAAAAAAAAAAAGTAAATTCACATAGCTACCATGACACAACAAGCACTGTCAGAAGCCAACATCTTCAAAAGGGTTCAAACATTCAGCCAGATTGTTCCTTCCTACATATAATTCAGATCGTCGCTTCAAAATATTTGTGTTAACCTCCAATTCAAAAAGACCTTTCTATGGTAGGCTGACCCAGGCAGTCAATCAAAACGCTTATGGGTTCATCACCATTACAGTCATATATGCATAAGCAGAAGGGGCTGTTTTGTAATTATTGTCACAATATAAGTTAAAAAAAAAAAGAATTATTTGTAAAATAAAATTTTGTTTAAATAAGAATATACAAACCAAAAATGAAAGTGAGAAGATACTAATTTAACAAAGCATGAGGGAGATATTGAGTTTACAAGAAGAGATTTTTAAAATGTTATCTTTTCTTAAAATTATATTCTATAAAACAAAAATGCACCATAAATGGTATTAAACTATGTTACCCGATTTCCTATCTGAAAAAAAAAAAAAAAAAAAAAAATTTAATTTTGATCCACCCACCTAGTTTCCTGTAAAACAACCATTACAATCTAAATATCTGTAAGGAATTGGGAAATAAACTAAAATTAATATTGTAGGAGGAAATATTTGATCACATTTTCAGTGGGCTAGTCACATTACCCAAAAAACACATTTTTCACTTCAGCTACAAAGTGAGCTACTCCCAGCTCTTTTCCCATGATACTGCAAAGCAGCCATCTAGAAAGTGCTCTTAGACTGACGAGTTTCTTCCATATATAGGTAACATTTTAATTTTCCCTAAACCATATTTGAAGTTTGTTATAAAATGTGTAGGGATCAAAATCGTTCTTCTGAGCCAAAACATTAAAATCCAAGTGCTTTAAAACATAAGATGACCTAATGCCAGGCAGATTACACACCTTAAGTTCCTTGCAGATGTACTCCACAGGCAAAATTTAAACTCTGTTTGGGTATGACTGAGAGGTCATAAGGAAATCTTTTGCCTGGAAGGAGAAACATGCAGAGTGCACCTACCTTCTGTATATCCATTCATAAGCTCTGTGTCTGGATATGAAGAAATAGGAATATATAAATCAATTATAGAGTCTAGTGGAAGAAAAAAAAAAAAAAAAAGCACTGCCGAAGTTCACAAACCAAGGAGAAAAGCTAACATCTCATGTTATTTCCATCTTCTCAATGAAAACCACTGCAGTGTAAATTACATATGTACTAAAGCATAGCTCATGTAGGAGTAGTAGCTCACAACTTAGCAATTGCACAAGTAACTAACAAAATGACCTTCCTTTCATAGCCACACAATAGTATTAATTCACTTCAAGTAAGAGAGCTCACATTCAAGTTAAACCTGTCTGCATGGCAGATGAATCCAGCCATATTGTAGTCATGATTTTCCACGTGGGAAAGTCACGCTTGATCCAAAATGAATTACAATGATCTATGATGGCTAGACTTCATTCAAAATAGGCATTTGTCAAGCACATTTTTAAGACGTTTCCCACACAAGTGGAAAGTGGAGTAGTCTCAGGAAGACTTGTCTTAGATGTACTGAACTGCTTACTCTAATGAGTTAAAATATACATCCATTAAGGAAGATGAGGCATAATATGATCCTAGTGCTTCAAGGAAAGAGTCATGATGCTTCCGTAGCCTGTAAAAACTACT